TTGCACGCTCCATAAATGACTTTCTGGGTCCTGTTTTGAAGGATATTGTGTTTATTCCGAAGACTTATAATTGGAACCGCGTTAAATGATGTCACACATGAATTTTGTTTTAGCAACACAGGAATAATACCTTTGTTATTTCATTATCAAATCAAATCAATTTGACCTTGCTAATCTCAATATTATTCTTTTAAATTATTTATCAATGAGTTAATTGTTTTAATTTGAAATGATAAGATTAAAATCTAAATTACGTAAGGTGACAGTGACTGTGAAAAAAAACCCAGATATCTTATTCTGTTTTTTTTTTAACTTTATCAGCAATAATTACAAGGTCATTTTTCTGTGAAATATACGTGGTCATAAATTCAATACCATTTTCAGTATTAGTAAATTAAGTACGATTCGCACCTTAAATGTGATTGTACCTTATTAATTACGTGATTATTTAAGCATAATAATTATAAAAAGTTGCTTTGCCATAACTTAAGAAATTCATGTGTCTAAGTTGACTCGAAGTTTATTCAGACAGATGTTGGTAAAGGTTATCATAATAAACAAAAAGTGATTAATACCTTTACATGGTGATGTTTACGAATTTTTTAAATTGTTAGCGCAAAAAAAGTCATAATATAATCATAAGTACTGAATAGACTTCATGAATATTAGTGCATAAATGCACAGAATTAAAAAAAAGAAGTTTCATGCAGTTAATTTCATAAAAAAAAAATTGTTTGATCATCTTTTTGTATTTTGTACGGGAAGTAGAGAGAATTACTAAGGGATCGAATATCATACGTTCGAAGGAATTGAGTATCATACATTCGACATGAAATTTCTAATGTTTTTTTTTAAATGTAGATAGAGAATATAGATATAAGTGTAGATAGAGAATAGCTGATATCTTGAAGAAGATTACGAAAGTGCTTTTCTTGTACCTCGCTTAAGACTTTCAATAAGGCTAACAAAGAATCTAACACTCACCGTCTAATTAAAAAAAGCGCTTGCAGCGTAGATTTTGAATATAGACGTCCAAAAGAAATCAATAAGCCTTTAAAATTATGTTACGTTTTCTTGTTCCAGTGGTACTTCTACGTTAAGAGACGAAACACCGCTAAAGAATGGAAAATTCAGCCGGACAAATGGTTGTCACCTGAGTTGGAAAGACATGAGATCATGGTGGGCACTTTTGCTCTGTTGATCACTGGCTCCTGCTCAGCTCTCCTTGCTTGCTACATCTTCAATGGAAACCCTTCCACAGTATATTTCCAATTCGACGAATATGGATGGCTTTGGTTTTTCCTTCAATTCCCAGTTATATTTATCTATAGTGTGAGTATTGTATTTAAAAATTAACTGGAAATGACACTATTGTTTCGAATCTAAATCACGTATTATAATATTTTTCACACAAACCAATGTTTCGGTTGCTTCCCAAAAAAATAAGACTGAAAATTCTTCGTTGTCCGTAGCCATCTTGACTATGTATAGCAAAAATGTAAGTCCCATGACATACTGCAATGATATTGCAAAAATTAAAAATAAATTTACTAGATTATAGGTAACGAAATATTAATTAAAGTTGTAATTATCATTTGTATCTAAGGAGAAATATAGGACAATGTGTATTTTTTGCTTAAGATGGCACAAAATAGACATGATTGCCCAGGGCTTCTCATCAATATTGTGCTCGAATTCCAATTACGACACTTCGTAAGCTAAATTTGCTCCATGTTCCATTTACTTGTCCTAATTTTGGAATTAATAGTTATCTACCAGGATTATTATTTAACTGCATGTATTTAAATGATCATTTTAAATTTGCAAAAGCAGCAGACAAAAAAATCTAAACGGACATCTTTTTTTAAGAATGGATCCCATTTCTCTGAGACACAATTAAATAAATAAATATTTTAATCTGTTCTGTGCTACACAAAAAAAAATGTTTGATTTGTATAAATTAACTTTGATAATTTCATGTTAGGCCTCAAAACTAAGACAAATGAGCTTTAAAAATAACATTGAGATACTTATATTTTATAGTTCGATTTACTAGAAAACTTTTTTGTTTTGTTTTACTAAAATATTTGTACACTAATATTGTATTAATTATAATTAAGAGACCCCCACACTAGTGTTTTTCGAACGTCAGCGTCTTGCCAAACAAGCACACAGCGTATTGTCTACGCACGCGCAGCGTACAGAGCGCCGACACGGAGCGTCCACAAAGCGGTGACGCAAGACGCAACGCCAGTACAGAGCGACTGCGGAATAGTGCCGATTGTTGGGTATACATCGCGCTGGCGTTGCATCGCCGCCGCGCAGACACCGTGTAGGCGCTGTGCGTGCGTTGGCAAGACGCTGACGCTCGAAAGACGCTAGTGTGTCTCATATTTTGATCTGAAACTATGTTCGGAAACGCAAGCAAATTCGCTTCTGGCACTCGCCCGCCGCTGCCATCGAGAAACGCTCGCTTTGCTCGCTCGGCTCGTGCTGCTTTTCATAATATGTTAGTATATTATAGTAACCTTTTTTTACCCGGTGAAATGCTTTACGCATACCGCGCGCCTAGGGGAGGCGCGGGGTTATGTGGGACTCTCCTCTCTAAGTAGAGTCGCCTACCCACTAAAACTCCGGGGGTGTTCCTCCAAGCACCATGTGGCGGGAACACGGGGACGCTTCCGCATTATTCCGCGAACCCACCGGTGCCGTCCGTTTGCACGAACCCTCCCAGAGTCCAGGGTGGGAATAGTCCACCATTTTTTTTTACGCCGGGAAATCCATCATGAATACCTTCCGTCTGGGGATACAGACGGAAGGTTATGTGAGACTGCTACTCACTAAAACCCCGTGGCAACCGTCTTAGTACTACATGCTGGGTCTTGGGGGCGCCGAAGCATTCTTCCAAGACCCAACGGTGCCCACCCGTTTTCGGGCTCACCTCGCTATGAAGGAAAGAGAGGAGCTATTCCTTCCTTCATATTCTACTGAGAGGCGCGCGCGGTTGCACGTGACGACATCTCGAGCCACATGCAGACGACGAACGTGTATCCCCACGTTCATCGCCGTGGCTCCCTTAGTGGGGGGCATATCGCACTAAAACTCCATCGGCATTACCCGCAAGGCCGGGTGTTGTGGGTGCCGTGGGATCCCGAGGATTCGACCACAACGACACCCCCGGCCGCCCTTGGCTTTCGCCAGGGTCCCCGCGCCATGGGGGGAGGGTCGGCACGCTTGACCATCCTCCCAGACGAGTGAGGCCGTGCAAGGCGGGCAAGGGATCCCCACCCCTGCCCGCTGGCCCCACTAGTGAATTAGGCGAGCAGCGTACTGCCTTCACCTTCTTCCCCACCGCCTGCGCCGGAGCGGGTCTGCGTTGACTGTGTCTTCGCGTTCCCGCTCCGCGTACATCACATGTGAGGCAGATGTGAGGGCGTTGTGCCATATAGTGGCCCCGTACATGGCCATGCTGCGCGCTACACCCGCGTACAGACGCCTACACGTGGCCCCAGGTCCCCCGACGTTCGGCAGGAGACGGCCAAGTGCCGCTGCGGCGCTCACCATCCGGGGAGCAAGCTGTTTGAAATGCTCCCGGAAGTTCCAGTGACGGTCCAGCACAAGCCCCAGATGTTTAATGTGGGCCCTGACCCGAACCGCCTCCGTCCCGATGGCCAGTAGGGAGCCGTCATTCCCCACCCAGTCCACCAAAGACTGTGGCCTCCGTCTTCCTCAGCGCCACCTTGAGCCCCAACAGTTCGATGCGGTGGACAATCATGTCCGCCGCCACTGACGCCCTCCACGCCACTTCCCAATAGTTGCCTCCCCGGACAGCCACCATTGTGTCGTCAGCGTCAACGAAGATGGCCATTCGAGGGGGCAACGTCGCCCTTAATGCCCAATCGTACCCCAGGTTCCACAGTAGTGGCCCGAGGGCGGACCCCTCTGGTACTCCGAACTCCACATTTCGTGCTACTATCTGGCCGCCTCTCAATTGATAGAGCACCACCCTGTTCGCCAGGTAGTGCCGCACCAATCTACGCAAGTAGATGGGCACCCTGTGATATCGGAACGCTTCCTCCACTACGCCATAAGCGAGGTTGCCGAATGCGTTGGCGATGTCCAACAATACCGCGACAACCCCCTCCTCATTGGCGGCCGTCTCATTGGTGAACACCCTCAGAGCCTTGATGTCGTCCAGGGTCGACCGTCCGGTCCGGAATCCGAACTGGCATCGGGAAATGTCTGGGTCCCGTCTGGTCCCGGACCTGTTCTAACCTAACTTAACCTAACCTATTGAAAGGAGGGCGCAACCAAGATTTGACTTATATGATAAAGGAGGATTTTCTTTGTGTAAGTATTACGCATTTTCACTGACGGCTGATCACGTCAATATTCTTGTCTAATAGGAAGTACGGCTATGAATATAGTAGAATAATTACCGCTGTGTCATATTGAATTAGCACTAAAAGTCAATGGTTTTAGGGGAAAAATTTGGTCAAAACTTACTTTTGCTGTTAGAACGTTCAATGGCACTAACATGTACTTGTATCATCTCATACAAAAACGTCAGTATCCACTGAATATGTGCGTGTCAAATCATTGGATTTTGACAGTACGTATTATAATATTCTGATCATTGACCTACCAATTCTGATATTTAATTTTACGGCAAACGACATTACTGTCCATGAACGAGTTAATGAATGATGGCGGTTGCGCATAGAAACCATTATGACCAATAACTTCCTATCGAGTGACTGATATGGCGGTCGTTATATACTCATTGGTGTTTTCGTTCGTGATTGTTGTGTTATTTTTTACATTTCACAAGTGGAAGTATCTAATTGGTATATTGGTAAAAGTAACAGTAACTTCCCCGAATGAAAAAAGTAAAATCATAATGGATAATAAAATTAATATAGCTTATGTAGCTGCATGTACTTTAGAAGTTCAAACTATTTTCTTATTATGATAACAACGGCTTAAAATTAGGTCCCTATGGTTACTGATAACTCTGTACTACGGGTTGCTCCCAACATTAAGGACAAAAATAAAATTGAAAAATACGTACTCCCAGATAATTATGAAACATAATCATCGCCTATCAAATCAATGAATTTTGTATTTGACATTCCAAATAGCTCATAAAGTGATAATAATGTTTCTGTTATCATTTTAATCAACAGGTACTTTTAAATCGGATTTTGTACCCCAAAGATAATTTAAAAAGTATAGATAAAGAAAATATACGAAATAGGCGTTTTAGTGCGTGCGGTACAAATGTACTATTTACATTAATGTATTGAAGATGATATTTTAATTATCTAGATTTTATGTAAAAATAATTATTTGTGACTTCAAAATAATCTTAATAAGTCCGTCTCAAGGGTCTTGGCGAATAATTCACGGAGCTTACTGAACCCGATGTATTTTGCTTTTAGTAAAATAAAACAAACTGTATAGGATTAGGTATGAGTCTAGTTTTTGTCTCTGATTCCGTCAATACATTAACGTAGATTTCTTTTATTTATCAGCATACACTTTTATATCTCTGTTGTACTGAACAAAAGCATAAACCAGGAAAAAAGAATAGACGACATCCAAAAAATATAAATAATATTCTTTTTTTTTACATTGATATAAAAATACAAGTAACGTTTCCTTCTTCGAATGTCTATATAATGTAATTATAAATTACTTGAAATAAATGAAAACTTTGTACTATTTAGCGTCGTGTCTTTTGTATATTTGTATTTTTTTGCAGTGGTAGTTGCAATACTATATTGATTAGATTTAAAAAGTAAGTAGGTAGATAATACCACGAATACGATTCTGCTACAATCTTGCGTTCTTTACTTTGATTTGTTTTTGTTCATTTAAACTTTCAGAGATTTAATGTTATTTACCAATAATTCCATTGCGACCAACAATTTATAAATTTCGGAACCAAGGAGTTGTTCTTTGTTTTAATAATACTATAACAAACTATAACAAAGTAGTGGAGTAATTTCGCAAAATAATTGAATATTATAGTAAAACATTGTGATATTTAATAAACATAATATTATAATTTTTAAACTGTCTTTATCATTTTCAGGACTACACCACCTATATTATGCATCGCATGTACCACACTCCATGGTTGTACAAGAATTTCCACAAATTGCACCACAAGTACAAACAGCCTACTGCCTTCTCCGTGACTGCCATTCACCCTGTTGAGATTACGCACATTCAATTGACTATGTGCTTGCCTCTCTTTACCATTCCAGTACACTGGCGTAAGTAATTTTTATATGACAGACTATTTCTCAGAAAATATATTAAAGTTTGAGTGAAGGTGCCCTTAAACTCGCCGAGAAGGATTTTGTTATTAATAGGGATGCCGTCTGTTACTTATAAATAAATAACGTTTATCAAAGAATATAAAAATATTTGCAAATATAAAACTTCAATTTTTAATACAATACCCGCTGATCTACCAGAAAGTTCATACAGACATAAAAAACTGAAAAAGATTCTCATCACAACAAACTGTCTCTCATATTATGGGTTAAACACTTTGAGAGTCCAAGAATCACTTGTAATGTACTTATAATAAATATCTAACCTTATCCTAGATTTAATGTCTTTGCTATGAATTAACAAAAAAGATTAAAAATTAAAATAAATATTCGAAATAATAACGGTAACATATAATAAAGGTAGCATATAATACCAGAACCTTAAAATTACTATTGTAACAAACGTACCTTATGTATTAGACGGCCTTAAGCCAAAATGTTAACTTTTAGTTCACTAATAATCCGCTAGATGGCATTGATCAATTTGGCGTTATTTCTGAATCGCGGTGTCAAGATTTTCCCTCGAATAGTGACTACTCGAACACAATTTGTTAATGTGAAGAGCCAACGCGAGGGAGTTTGAACCTTCCTCACAGACCACCAACTCGATGTCCTGTTAATTCAAGAAACCTTTTTAAAACCCTCCGCTCGAATTCCCATGTTTGCCAACTATTGCGCGGTCCGCGACCGATCGAGGCGTCGGTTCGGTTTCACCGGCCACCCACCAATCACCCTCATTTCGGCCTACCTGTCCCCTGATATTTCCCGATCGCTAATTCACGAAGATCTTCAAGCCCTCTTGTCCCTAGGAGATCCTATAATTCTGACTGGCAATCATAACGCCAAAAATACTGCACGGAATTGTAACACCACCAACCCACGCGGTAACACACTCATGACGCTATCCGAATCCAAGAATTTTGATATAATTGTACCCTTAGAGCCCACCCACTATCCGCATAGTAAATTACTGCCCCGACATCCTAGACGTAGCATCATACAAAAATATTAGCCGTAGATTAGACTCGATCCAGGTCGTTCACGAATTAGTTTCGGATCACAGCCCCGTCCTCCTTCAACTCTCCCCTCGTTCGGACATAGGCTCCCCTGAACCTTGCGCCCCCGTTAAATCGGTGTTGGACTATAGGGGATGTTGAATCATGAACCTCAATTTCCTCGAGTCTGAACACCTGACTCAGATTCCGGATAAGATTTCTTCAGTCGTAGACGCCAACTGCGCAATTGACCGTCTATAGGGACACATACAAACCGCCGTTTATAACAGCTCCTGGTCGGCACCGGCGACGGATGACCGTCGCTGACACCTACCGGAGGATGTGCTTGCCCTTCTAATGGAAAAGAACGCAGCCACTCGTGTTTACGACTCATACCCCACCGACGAAAACCGCCGTTTCCTGCGGGCTTTGCAGAGAGACGTAAAGACGCGTATGGACGAGGTACGTCAAAGTCGATGGGAAAAGCGCCTAGAAAGGCTCGAGCCCACCCATCAAGCCTTCTGGCAACTAGCCCGTTCTCTCAAGTCCGGCACGATTGCCCAAATGCCTCCCCTCAACCGACCCAACCGCACTCCAGCATTTGACGACGAGGAAAAGGCCGAATGCCTGGCCGACAGCCTCGACGGCCAGGGCTCCCCCAGCTTAGAGCCAATCGACCCGACCCACCTCCTCCAGGTGGACTCCGAGGTCGAACTTAGAGCAACCCTCCCGCCCTCCGGCCCTCCTCTCCCACCGGTCACCCCAAAGGAAGTAAAATCGCTCATAAAGGACCTTAAGCCCCAGGAACTGACGGTATCTCCAACAAGGTGCTTAAACAGCTTTCTGCGCCCCTCATCTGTCTCCTGACTACAATTTTTAACACCGCTTTTTGGAGTTGGGGCCTTGACTACGCCACCGAAAAAGAGAGCAAGCTGAAGGCTCATAACCCCTAAATCGGCTCAGGACGCTACCGACGACGTCCGCCAGAAGGGCTGTAAAAACATATAAGATGACTTTTATTATTGAAGTTAACAAAACGATAGCGCGTTTCAGAGTACAGCTAATGCCATCTAGCTGTGGCACGATGGAACTAATGGCGTGTTGAAGTTAAAGTGGTTAGTTAATAGGTTAGTGGTTACAAATTTTTATTTAAGATCTTTGATCCATTTTGTTAGTAACAATTGAAAATTTAGGAGTGTGTTAATAAATTACACTTAAAAGTAGAAAATAATTAAAAATAAATAATAGAAATTAACAATAGCAATTAGAATTCATGTCAGTAGTCCTTCTTGTTGACATGAATTCTGGTCTAGTAGCACAATATCGGACACGCTATATCCTCCGATATGGTGTTCAGAAGGCTGTTACCGCTGCCACACATCCTGCTCGTGGTCGACGTCGTCGGTACGCGCTTCCGCAAACAACAGCCGGATGCACTACAGAACGTGGGCAGCCGCAGCAGCTTTATGAAGGTGTCATTATACTGGACCTTCCGGGTATTGAAAGATTTCTGCGTATAATTAACCCACAGGCCGCAGGTGTACAGTGTCTAGCTGTCGGCCTTAAAAAGAGTTACTTTGACCTCGTTCGTACACCGTGCAAATCCACCGTGTATATGCCATCGATACGATAAGAACCAGAAGGCATGTAATTCATAATACGGACTGTGTTCCAAACTTTGTTATCTAAAAATTCTGTGTTATTTTCATTCATAAACACAAATAACATACTTACTCTTGTGCTTGGTTCACTTCCGTTAAGTACAAACCTACATTTCTATTGCAGTGTCGTTCTACTCTGTGGCTCTCTACATCTACTATCATGGTATCATTGACCACTCAGGGATCAATTTTAAGGCCCAGTGGTGGCAGCCATGGCAACCAGACGCGGATTTCCACGATAAACATCACGAGTTCTTCCATTGCAACTTTGGGTTCAACATGGTTTTGTGGGACAAGGTAAATAATTTAAAACTTTTACAAGTGTATATTTTGACCCATACTGACGTCAGTTAGTATAGTCACAGCTGTTAGTAATCTGGACGTAAGACAAGCGACAACGACCATATCTAAATTAGTCCTGCTTTGGATGTTTTTTTTATGACAAACAAGTCGTGCGCCTGGTGATAAGCGACACGCCTGTCTATAGTAGTTGCTGGGCCGCTCAGAGGTTTAAATGGCTAAGATCTGACGGACACTGCTACTGCGCTTAGCTCGAGTCTCGCTCAACGCGTCATCGCGGACGCTTGTGCGATGACGTGATGTCGAACGTTGTAAAGTGCAATGGGTGTAACGTAGTGATATGCGAGCTTCTTTCTTTCATCCCGAATAAATTGGAAGTTATGGATAAGGAAAGTCTAGTACCTACGTATTTGTGTGACTGCTTTTTCTGCAACGGAAATAAATGCTGCAAAGAAATTGCTTTGTGAATCTCTGCCTACTTCGAAGAAAATGAAAAGTAGGAGAAGAGAGGGAAAGTCACATCGAAATATCGATGACATTATCCTACTTTTTAAGGACACGGATCCAGATCTAACTCCAATTTTTGTGGCGAGGGACTTGCACAAACTCCCGCCGGTAACTTTTGATCATCTAGATGCTACGAGTTTGTTGAAGGACATTCTTATTTTAAAGAAAGATCTCCGCGACATTAAGGAGACTTATGCTACCAAAAATCAGTTAGAAGAAGTCCGTTCAGAAATAGACACAATGATCAATGCATCGATAATCAACTGTGATTGCAATGTAAACAAGCACACAAGAGGTGTAGCTTTTGATAATAGTTTGCGGCTTAATAGTGAATTACTACCTATGGATTTGCAACATATTGAAACCTTTGAATGCTCACATTTGGATTTTTCAACAAAACTGCAATGCATAAAGACACCAGTTTTAAATCCACCCGCCACCGAGAATAAAAACATAACGGCTTTGCCCACCCCGCCGCCGCCAACGCACGAACAAGTTTTGAATGAGTCAATACGGCAGAGCGTAGCTGTTGGTAACCGGTGCAATGATGACGCACACTTGCCGCCCGGTCAATCGACACTAGTAAACAATGAAGTGGATGGCGCAATGCGCGATGAACCAGGTGGCGTAAATAAGGAACAACAATGGGTGAAAGCAGTGAAAAGGAAAACTTTTAAAAAGCAAAATGGACTAAGCACGCGTCTGGGTAGAGGCGAAGACAGTCAGACAGCAAATTTCTGGGCGGCGGCAAACAAAGTACCACTACTAGTCATAAACGTACACACAGATACGAATGAAGAGGACATATGTCATTATATCTATCAGAAAACGAAGGAGAAGGTTGATTTGGTAAAACTGTCTATAAAAAGAGAAAATCTATACAGCGCTTATAAATTGTTTATCCCTAGACATAAATTACCAACGTTTTTGGACGATATCTTTTGGCCCACTGGAATAGTTTTCCGACGATTTATTAATTTTAAGTCCTGGTTTCTTTGAATTGTAAATCGATTAAGCGCTCGGTGGAAAGTATAAGATCACTTTTTAAAACAGCTGACATTGTTGCGATACAGGAAACTTGGCTCTTGCCCTACGATCTGACGTATTTGGCATCTATAGATGACAATTTCGGCAGTACGAGTACCTCAGCCGTGGATATCTCGACGGGTATGCTTAAAGGTAAGCCGTATGGAGGGCTTGCGTTACTTTGGAGAAAAAGTGTTCTAACTTTGTGTCAGTCGTTCCGTGCGATAACCCCCGTATAGCGGCTATTAAAGTGATGCTTAGTGATGAACCCGTGCTAATTATTACAGTGTACATGCCATTTGATACTAAAAGTAACGAAAGTTTAACAGAATATTCAAACTGTTGAGGTTGTTTGGATGCTATAGTGACGAACAATGACGTTGAATCTGTGATAATATTAGGGGACTTTAATGCTAACATAGGCACAGCTTTTTATAATGAACTAATGGCATTTTGTTTAGAGTCAGACTGGGTTTGTGCGGATGTAAGTATGCTCGGGGCCAATTCTGCCACTTATACGTATATTAGCGATATGGACGGCGACAGAAGGTGGCTGGACCATTGTCTGGTTACCAGTGCGGCCAGCACTATGATAACTAAATGCTATGTAAATAAGGATGTCCAATGGTCCGATCATTTTCCATTATTTGTGCATTGCAATTTCAATGTAGTTAAAAGTAAGTCTAACTTTCAGCACAGACTGTCAAATCGGGTTCTGTGGGGTGATAGAACACCTGTGCAGGTAGAATTGTGCACAAAATTATGTAATGATAGATTTAAATACGTTGATTTACCTGTAGAACTACAAAAATGTTGTGGTGATCTTTGTAGTAACCATCAACACAAAAACTTAATTTATGAGTTATATGATCAATTTGTCTCAATATTAAGTTCAACAGCTAGCTCAGCGTATTGTGTGAAGAGACGTCGTCGTGGTAAATGTGTTGCATGGTGGAATGAACACGTATCCACCGCTCATGGTGACGCCAAGGCCAGGTTTATGAAGTGGGAGTGGTACGGTTGTCCTAGGTCTGGATCAGTCTACGATGATATGGTTCAAGCCAAACGTATTTTTAAAGACAGGCTTAAGTGGTGTCAAAATAACCAAGACCAAATTAAAATGGATAAACTTGCGTCACATTACTCTAAGTCTGATTTCCGTAATTTCTGGAAGTCCACCAACAAATTAAGCGGACCTAAAGGCCTCCCCGTGAGCTTTGGCGAAGTGACTGATGAGCGGGGTATTGCAAATCTTTTCAGACAGCATTTTACTGTCAAGTCACCTCTGGGGCTCTCTCGATCCGTGATCAGCGCGGAGTCCTGTCGTGGATCGGTGCCAACCTTAATTAATGCAAGTGATGTCCGTGTTGCTTTACTTTCAATAAAGAAAGGAAAATCACCATGATACCACGGTCTCAGCGTTGAGCACTTAAGATATGCAGGCTTCCATGTACCCAGGATCCTTGCATTGCTGTTTAATTTATGTTTGGGACATTCATATTTGCCATTCGACTTAATGAGAACGATTGTGGTACCAATAGCTAAGAACAGGACGGGTGAAGTGTCGGACAGGTCTAACTATAGGTCAATCTCTCTTGCTACTATAGTGGCCAAGAGATTTGACAGTGTGCTAAATTCACACTTTGAAAAACATTTGCAACTGCACGAATCGCAGTTTGGTTTTCAGACAGGCTTATCCACTGAAAGTGCTACTGTGACATTGAAGCATGCTGTCGGGTATTATACTAATAAAAAGACTTCAGTATACGCGTGTTCCTTGGACCTGTCCAGTGCCTTTGATTTGGTCTCCTACGACATCCTGTGGGATAAACTAAGTGCCACAGGTATGCCTGTGGAGCTCACGAACGTTTTTAGGTATTGGTACCGGAATCAAACGAATGTTGTAAGGTGCGCGAACAAATTTTCGGAGCCGTATAACTTGGAATGCGGGATTAAGCAGGGTGGACTAACATCTCCTAGATTATTCAATTTGTACGTCAATCCACTGATTGGTGAACTCAGCAGCACGCATGTGGGCTGCTTTGTTGACGGAATTTGTTTAAACAACATTAGCTATGCCGATGACATGGTGCTGCTGGCGCCATCAATCAGTGCATCGAGAAAACTAATTGAAGTATGTGAGTCAAATGCAACATCCCATGGCTTGTTATATAATGTTAAAAAGTCGGAGTTTATGATCTTTGGAGCCGCCGGTAGGAAGAGTCCTACGTGTGCACTTCCTGTACTGCTTAATGGTTCTCCGTTAAAAAGGGTTAGTCACTTTAAATACTTGGGACACTATGTTACCGACGACCTCAAGGATGACCTGGATATTAAGCGCGAACGGAGAGCACTCTCGGTGAGAGCAAACATGCTTACCCGCAGGTTCGCCAAATGTACGGCAGCAGTTAAGAAAACATTGTTTCAAGCTTACTGCACACCAATGTACACTAGCGCTCTGTGGAAGAGTTACACTCAGTGCTCTCGGAATGCTCTGTGCGTGCAATACAACAACGCCTTCAGGACACTGTTGGGGCTGTCACGTTTCTGCAGTGCCTCAGCCATGTTCACTGACGCGCGCGTAGATAGTTTTACGGCTGTTGTATGTAAAAAGTCGGCGTCGCTACTAAAGAAAATACGTGACAGCCCCAATAGCCTCCTGAAGACAGTTGCTGACAGGAATGAGTGCCCAATTATGCGGCACTTAATACATAATACACAATCCCTGGTAAAATATAAGTACTAATATAGTTTTAAGTCTGTACCTACTAACATTTGATTGGATCTCAGTTGTCTCAATAAATAAAATTTTATTATTATTATTATTAGCCCTGAGACATAAGTTGACAAGTCCTATGTGTCTGTAATTTCACAGGACCCTTAAAATCGAAATGCAGTAATGCTAACATTACTGTTTAGCGGTAAAAATAGGTAATAAAAAATAATGCTTTATTGTCAGACATCTCAGAAAGGTCCATAGTTTGTAAGTAGTGGTAACCTTATACCATATTAGGAACCGTTGGTTATAGGGATAGAAATACTTTGGAAATTTAAATCTTCACAATCAAAATAATAAGATATTCTGGATAGTGCTTCTTAAGTATATGTAATGGAGGGTCCGCACAGGTGTTTAGTTTATTTTACGATACAGGTCATGGCGGCGCAGTCGGAGATTTTCACCATTTTGCTTCTTCGTTCATTATGCGAATAGCTAATGAGTGGAACTCTCTGCTAGGTTGTGTATTTCCTATAAAATTCGACGTAGTTATTTTCAATCTTAGAGGAAACGGACAGCTTTTAGGACAACATATACCATCCTTATCCATATATTTCCTTTTTTTCCGTGGAAAAACGTGAACATTTAATTTAACTTCCCTGGACTTAACCTGGTACTCCCATGAGTACCAGTTGCACCTATGTGCAAGAATTTATTTTATTTAAGACCAGATTATTGGTGTTATTGTCTTACCAATTGTTTCTTTACAGTTTTGTGTATTATTATTGTTTTATACTATTGAAAATCTTTTATTTTACAAATTTTGGCGTTCCTTAATAACTTTAGATATCCTACAATTTCTTTCGGTAACCTGATATTCTGTCTTTAGGGACTCATTCGACTTTCAGTCAGTATTGTAATTGTATACATGGTATAGGCTATCGTAGTGCTACAACTATTTTTTTTATTTACGCCACAGACATCATATACAAACATCCCCTTCCTTTCTACATAAGTTTTGATTAGGTATAGTGACCCTCTCTACCGACCCTTTGGGTATACGAGATGGCCACTATAACCTTTATGTGCACAAGAACTGTCTAAGTTCAAGCTCTGACCCCAGAGCAGTCAGTGTACGGAGTTGTCACAGACCATTGTCACTGACTTCATCTGGTTCTCAAGAGGCTAGTGCTTCGGGTGCACGTACGCTCATAGAAAATAATTTTCAGATAGGCACTGGAGCTTAGGCACGCTCATTTCCCGTCACGTTCTGCACGACTAACGGTTGTCACCGCTGAGCCATCGGCTCTAAGCCGACTACAAAATCTCCTCTTTTGGTGTCGGAGGTGTAAGGCACCCTCACTTCCCGACGCCGAAAAAAAAGGCGTCTCTCCAATTCCCAATAACTTAAGCGGCTGGAGGGACCGGAGGATGTCTAAGCTCATACTCTACTAGCTCTCTGTGCTAGTGCCGGAGATGCCGGTAGCAATGTCTCGAGACAATGTACGAACATAGCTTCCAACTTAAAGGGCAACTCACGCGTCCCCGCGCATCTCCTCGCCATTAAGCCCTCGTCTAGACCGCTACTAAGACGCACTAGCTGTACGCGGGGCGAAAGCTTCGGCTACATGCTACCGGAGCAGACGAACGTGTTCAGGGATATAAACTATGGATATACTGGGATATACTGCGTTCCAGTTTTGAAGAAAGGGTGCTGGTGAAAATACACACATGGGGCTTATAAACTTATGTCACGGGCACAGTGGCAGTGCCCCTCGGATCTTTGTGATTTAAAGCTCTGAGTGGCACTGCAACTATTATGGACAGCCGTGTCGTTTACCACCAGACCCACGACTTGTACGTCCCGTCACTTGGTATCATAAAAAAAAGAAAACACTTAAAAACTAATACAGCACGCATATCTGTGCCCAATTGTAACTCTGCTCAACATTCAGCCAGAATCCCAAGCAGTGCATACTTAAACTTACGTTAACTATCCAAGTAGAAAAAAAAAACGCATTTATTACAATGCAAGAAGTAACCTCTTAAAAGCAGAGGACACCCCAATTGAAGATGTCACAATTAGTACAGATTTGTTTATAACCACATATGTTGTTTTTTGATAGGGGCATTATAGCTTTTCGTAATATATGCATCATTTTATATAGAAATAATTAAAAACTTCTTTTAATTTTCAGCTTCATGGCACTATGAGAAAACAAAACAGACTATACACAGAAGACACATATCATGGAGAAGCACCTCTCTTAGATTCAATTGAAGCCAAAGAATTGATCAACAAGGATGAAGACGCTAAAGAAGCTTTCATATCAACTAAGGCTCTTCTTAATTCTAAATCGGATTAGACTATCGGAATTTTTAGACATATAGCTAGGTTATCAAAATTCCTCATCGTCAATTGACGTATGTCCCACTTCAACAAGATGGTTTAGATTAAACGGTGGTCAGTCACATTGACTGATTGCAGATTTGGGACTACACACGTTTTCAAAAAGTTATTGTCACCCTATCCAAAATTTAGGTAGTATCACGACATTTTCCATCATTCTTAAAGCAAGTGATAATTTAGTAAATAGAATAAGTTATTGAAACACATTGATTTTAATCAATTATTTTTCAGTATTAAAGTCGTTGATGAATCAACCACATGATTATATTCATAACTTAAATTGTTTGCTGCAATCATTAGAAATGTTGCACTAATCATTGTGCATGATGGGCTTGGAATAAGTGATACATTATTTATTGCAAGAACATTGATTTTTCTGTATGATAATAAGATTTTTTCTTTATAATTTTGAACTGTTTTAAAACCTATATTACCTATATTCTCAATTTAAATCAGAAACTTTCAATGTTTCAGTTTTTGCAATATTTTTTATCTTGTCCTTGTACTTCGCCCTTCTTAATCTATCATCCGTGTCGTACGTATTGATTATAAAATTGGCAAGTGACGTCCGGATATGGAACATACTTTATTTTTCTCTCCAATACGGTCCGTAATACATTTTTATTCAAATTATATACGAGAAGTTTATTAATGATTTTCCACCTAATTAGACTCAAGTTAAATGTAATCGGATTGTACACGTCAAGGCACATTAATTAATCCTATCATTTAAACATAATTAACAAAGTTTATTGTGTTAGAGGCATATAATAAATTATATGTGTTTGTGTATAATATAATATTCTAACTGTACTTTACGCCAATCATTTTATTTAAACAGGAGTTACCTTTGGTTATGAGAACGACAAAAAGCCACAGATTAAAACAAAGAACGTAGGAGTGGTAGTATAATGAGGTCGGCTTTTGAAGCACACTAAAGATATTAACATTTATTACCACAAGGTTACTATATATAGTATGGACTTATTTGTTACAATCTTTATTCAGGAGGTCTTTCAATCAAACCACTTGGCGTTGAGATCGGAGTGAAAAGATTCAGAGTGACGCCACACGATGCGTTGCGTCGTCGCCGTCGCCTCCAAGCAGTGACGCTGCATTACAATGCAGTACACTGCATATACATAAATTAGAACTACATGCCACATGGTGCGTCGAAACGGCGAAATGGAGAGGTACTGCGGTGCTTAACCCTTTCAAGAAAAGTACTTACATAATACCGCACACATAAATTTTAGTAGTTTTTTTGCCGTAGTTCTTCTATTGATTAAATATACAATGTTCAATGTGCGTAAATCATCAAAATTTGTCAGTACGTTGTCTACAACGTATCTAGAGTATAGTATCTATACCACGGAAATGTGGTCTGTGATCTATACTATGGAGAAGCAGTAGGCGGCAACTACACACAAAGCATTAGGAATCGCAATGTAAACCCCGTAGTTGGTGTTTTAAGATCCACATGGTGAAACGGGGTACCCCGTTTTATTATATTTTAATATTTAATTTTACGGTAAATGTTGTTACTGTCCATGAAAAGTTTAAATAATTGGCGTTACGTTGCGACATCACATTGCTCGTGTGGCACTGGGTGCGTTGAAATCATGGCGTTGCGCCGAGGCAATAGCCGGCAGAGCTCATGTGGTATCGCCCGACACCGTTTGTGTATCGGTTGTTCCGGCCCAGAGGATAAATTATAGATAATAATAATAATAATGCATACACTTAACAAGCCCCGCATTAGGGAAACCCTGTGTCGCGGATGCCATGGACACACACATAGACGACCGCAATATACACCCAAACTAACGAGAGAATTAAATGTAGGCCATACAAATATTTCTCCCGGCCTGGGAATCGAACCTGGGACCTTTGCGTGGCAGTCCGGCATGGTAACCGATCAGCCACAGAGGCAGTTAAAATTACTGTTACAAAACCAATAACATAAAAAATGTTGCAACAGAATGTATAGATACACTTATCTAAAATATTATGTAAGCTCAAAATTTATTAAAATAAAATTAATGCAACGTAAATAAAATAATTAACGTAAATTAACAATACTTAAAAAAAATACAGTATCGAGTTCTTAGGTTTTCGCGATTGTTACACATAGGAAATGAAACTATTTTTCCGGATTTAAATCGCGTATATTTGTTTTTTCAAACAAACCACAGACGTTTCGGGCCCTTTACAGGTCCCATGGTCACGGTTGACTGAGGTGGTACAGTCTTCAACCAGTTATGTCGAATATTAATGCAAACCACCCATGATTTTTCAAAAATATATTATTAGGTTCATAGTTATAGTACTTTCTAGCTGTAATTTTATTTAAAAATATATAAAATTTACGAAGAAACTATTTTATTTCTCTGTGTATTTTAATGTGTATTTAACTAAATTTTTGATATGTGAATAATACGATTTTTGTTACACTTTAATTTTGTTTCCCAGACACCACAGAATATTAAAAAAGCACTTATTTTTATCATTTTATAATGATGTGTACTGTAATAATTTATTACAGTCTGAAGTCTGAACAGTAACTCAGAAACGACGAAAAACATCATACATCTTTGTTGGAATACGCTTTCCGAAGATAAAATAGAAATATCTCAATTTTTAATTTAGCATACATAGTGAATTTTAATAAATCTGTTTAAAAAAAATAAACAATTACAATTTTGAAACCTTCACAATACAAGGAACGTTAATTTTGTAAACATATTAATAATTCAGGACCATAAAACAGAAAGAATTGCAGTTGAAATCATCATACTGAATTTCAACTACTTTTAAAACAGCAGGTTTTATTAATGTGATTCCTTTCTTTATCGCAAAAATATCGGAAGATATCACGAATGGAATTCAGAAAGGAATTCCGCCTTTTCACATCGTCCATTTATCACCCTCGTGAGACCGAAAAAATTGCGTTGGCCTTAAGGGGCCAAGTGAAAATAATGTAGAGAGAAGCTTCATTTGATTTATACTGTAGATGTAAGCACGTTAAATGGTTCTTTAAACGGTTGTTTTGTTAACCGAAATAAATGGACCGCTTAATTTGGCGGCGTAATTTCTTTTGATTCCATTACGTAAGCCACTTTTACGTTTTGCCTGCTTTTCTAATTCTTTAAATATAAGCACATTTAAAGATATAAGCTGTCCCTTAAAATTCATCAAACTTTAGTTTGCAAAACGCACTATACACATACACGTTCGTCAGACTCATCAATTTATTTATAAACTTACATGAATTATATAACCTGACTGAACATATTAACTAAAAAATAACAGATTAATCACGTATTTAAGTCGAATTTTTTTGAACCAATGTCGAGCAAAAATTTGAGTTACATACTTGAGTTATCCGTTATTTTTTAGTTAATATGTCTGAGTCTCACGGTCGTTTTCTATTTAAAATAACCTGACTGAACCTTCTCAAATGCCATACATGTGTACATGATTCGGTTAACAAAAGGCACGGTCACGGCCTTGTAATTAATGCTCCTACGTTACATCTATGAATCCGTTTTCAGAAAGCGTGTGTGCGAAAAAGGCGCTATAGTATTTTTTAATTCCAAGACCTAGGTAGTGTCAATTACTCCGCTATTTACTCTCTAGAAAAGACATCAGAGAGTACATTGTCGCTAAACTAAAATCAACGTCCAATGCTATTTCAGAACAACAAAAAGAAGAACTACTTCGTCTATTGTCCATTCCGATAAATACGGGCGTTAACAAAGTTTGACAGACTGCTCCGTCTATTAAGCCTAGTTCTTTGCCTCTACCATGAGATTACAGTGACAGTTACAGTGTACAAAATGTTCTTTCTTCTTGTAACCGCTAAGGTCGTTGTATAATTTGCTATATAAAACTGTGAAGTAATTTATACGCGGCCAATACCGACAATTCTCTAGATTACATTTCACTTACGCGAGATATTTTCGCCTTTCTTACGCATGTATGTACTTTGGAAAGGAACGCGGTACTTCCTGTACGCGACTTGCATAGGTTATAGTTTTCCTTTACACATTACACACACAAACGCATAGTTATGTTGCGCAAGTCAACTCGTAGTGAAGCTTGACTGTGTAGACGTGCCTCAATAAAGTGACATAGATCGTTGGGGATTACGGAGACAGGAGGCGGTCACGCATTCAAGCATTTTTACGTTCAATCTTGTTTGCAGATTCCCTTACATTTACAGACGCAACGCAGTCAGACTGCCATGTCATTGACTGTAGATGAAATAATCCTTTTCGCTTATGAACCTAAGCGAACGTGAAGGTATTTTTTAACGCGTGAATAACAAGTGAATATATCGCTTAAACCTATTATAGATTTTTCTGTATACCCGCTGCTTATCATATTGTCATTAATAAACACAAATACGAGGGTAAGGAGGTATTCCGTTTCCTCCGACCCAACCTACGCTACGGCGTCGCATTCGGCATTTGCACGATTTGTTCTTTGTGGAAATGTGATAATAGCTGTTCTTGCTATTATAAATATTATATAAGTATACGGTATGTATATTTTTTCAATAGTAAATTAATATGGCTATATTTGCTAGTAACGCTCGTAAAAGCTAGTAAAAAGTAGTAAGTAGTTTGTAAAATAAGTTAGTTATAGTATATTAGTATATTACAGTATATTATCATAATAATAGTTGTAGAGTAGTATTAGTGTACCTTATTTTAGTTTAGCCAAGTTATGGGAGCTATTTGTGCAGACCTAGCATCAATACTCTATAAACATAATTTTGTTTTCTCTAGTACGAAAATGCGGTGTCCAGTCATTCTCATAAGAGGGTATTAGAATTAATCTTTGCGTGACCCTTTTAATAGCGTTATAATCCAGTGCGAATGTATGCAGAAACCCCCATTATTAAAGAACCCTTTTAATGCTTGTTTAGCTTTCTACTTTACTAATGCAAATGAATACTTTGAACTCATTGTTAACCTCCGAAGGTAGTTCTTAAGAGAATTATTATTATTTTTAATGGCACGTAACTTAATACCCATTTACTTTTCTTTGTGCACGGGTTTACTTGATTTTATAATTAGTGTATTATGTTTAGAATATCGACTTTTGAGAAATATCGAGTTCTTAAGTATTCGTGATTATTACTCATATTAAATGAAACGATTTTTTTAATCTAAATCACGTACATTTGTTTTTTCAAAGAAACCAACTTTTCGGGGCCTTTATAGATCCCATGGTCACGACTAATTGGCCGAGTCAGCCGTAAACATGGGACCTGCTAACTTCGTTGCTTTGTTTGAAAAAAAAACAAATAATCGCGATTTAAATCCGAAAAAACAGCTTCAATTTTAGGTATAAATAAAAATTAATTAAACTGAATAGAAATATTTCATTTAATATAATATTTTGAAGTAACGTTTAACTCAATTTAGTTCATAATTAAAAAACAATCATTCAAGATGAACTCTGGTTAATATTAACGTTAAATTTCTTGACACATTTAAATCTAAACTTCATTCCTTTGAACGATTATGTTTCTTAGATAAGTATGAAATTTTCTTTGTAGTTCTTGTTCATCATTCTAACTATATTACAGAGATGTAATAGATTTTTAAGAACCCTCATGGTCCGGTTTGCACTGTGGCCGCTGGACATGTCCCGAGTCCACGGGCTAAATTTGAATTACATGTATTACAAAATATGAATTTGAACAATAGACACCTGTCCAAAAAGCAAAGAACAGTGACACCCATTTGAAAAGAAATAAACGAATAATAATGTGGGCTGTAATTAAACCAAATGTCACAGAAATTTAAGTTTATTCTAATTTATTCATTAAATCGTCTGCCAAATATAACATCGTCCACTTTTTGCTCGTAATTCATCAATGATAAAGAAAAATTGTTGATGTCTTCCAATGTGTTCATATAACACCTACACGAGCGTCTTTTACTCTACAAGTACAATATTTTTTTTAGTTATAAAATAAAGGTATAATTCCAGATTGCAATATAAATATTTGTAGTACTTCTATTTTTTGTGCTTACTAAAAAGTTACGAAGGTTACGAATTTAGCCGACGTTATGTACTTTTTTGGATGTTGTGAATAGTGTTCTAGAGTGAATTTTGTTGCTTGGGAGGGAGGTCTCTAGTTGCAGAATACGTAATTATTATTATTATAGATGCGTTTTAAAGAAAGATCTTTCGTTTGTATTCTTTAAGTCAACATTTCTAATTTGTTTTTGTTGCTTTTTGTAAAAGATTTTCTATTGTTTTTCTGAAACGTTTAGTAAAGCTTATAGCAGGCATAGAGCGTAACAAAACACTAAACATATGTTTTGTTGTACACAATAACTAACAATTTTAGCAAAACTAATATTTGGTTCTCAGTGCAAAAGTCAATATACGATACAGTGTGAAATTAAAAGTAACATATTTAACAATATGGGATTAATTATATTTCTAAGGTTGTATAAAATATATTTGCTCTAATACAAAATAAATGTGCAAGTAATTAAAAAATTCAACCCGAGGTTCAATTTAAAAAGTTGAGGCCACTTGCTATCGTACAGGCTCGCTATTATATCTTACCCAACTATTAGTATGCTTCAAGTTAAAAACTGAACACCAATTACGATCACGTAACTTAGATACTTATTCTATATGTACTTATGTATTCATGTTCTTGATAAATATTATATGAACCATAACAGTTTCAGTGCCACCCAGGACTTTAAATCACAAAGATCGTCATTACCACTGTGCCTGTCACCCTGAGGCATAAGTTAACAAGTATTAAGCGCCTGTAATTTCACTAGCCTGTGCCTGTCA